AGGAAGACTTTCAGCACCAAGGAATGGAAATTATTTGCTTCAGCATTTATGTTAGCTGCCCATATAATGACTGAATGTGGCAGCTTGTCAAGAGTGACATTTAATATGGTTGTTGTACAGAAGTCATATTTCATTTACTTTTTGAAACATGGGTCCCTGAGGAAATGGGTGTTATGAGCTTTAGAGGGACTTGATGGACTCTATTTATCCACCAAGGAACCCTGGTGGTGTAGTGGTTAAAGTACTCAGCTGCTAACCAAAAGTTTGGCAGTTTGAACCCAATAGCTGTTCCACCAGAGAAAGATGTGGCAGTCTTCTTCTGTAAAGATTTACAGCCTTGGAAACTGTCTTAGTTATCTATGCTACTATAACAGAAATACTGCAAGTGGATGGCTTTATCAAAGAGAAATTTATTCTTTCACAGTCTAGGAGGCTAGAAGTCTGAATTCAGGGTGCCAGTTCCAGGGGAAGGCTTTCTCTCTCTGTTAGCTCTGGGGGAAAGTCCTTGTCATCAATCTTCCCCTGTGCTAGGAGAGGACCTTGGGTCCAAACAATGCACATTCTCCTGGCTCTTGTTTCTTGGTGGTATGAGGTCCCCCTGTCTCTCTGCTTGCTTCTTTCTTTTATATCTCAAAAGAGATTGACTTAAGACACAACCTAATCTTGTAGAGTGAATCCTGCCTCATTAACATAACTGCTGCTAATCCCACCTCATTAACATCATAGAGGTAGGATGTACAACACATAGGAAAATCACATCAGGTGACAAAATAGTGGAGAATCACACAATACTGGAAATCATGGACTATCCACGTTGACACACATTTTTGGGGGACACAATTCAATCCATTACAGAAACCCTATGGGGCAGTTCTACTCTGTCTTATAGGGTCGCTATAGGTCAAAATCAACTTGACAGCAACGGGTTTTTTGGGGAGTTGACTTATCCACCAACACCCGCACAAGCAGTCTTTTATTCTAGTTTTCTGAAACTAAAGAAGTGATATTTTTAAGTTCCTGAAAAGTAGATCCATAGCTTATTAAACCACCAAGTAAGGGTGTGTTCCCTGTTCAGGACCTCAGAAAATGTAGTAACAGTCCACTAATTTCTATTGCTTTCCTGTTAACTTTTCATAAGAAAGATTATTTGTGGCTCAAACCAAATACCATATTTTAAAATACAAGAAAGGGACTGTATAGATGTAAGAGTCTATCAGTAAAAAAATCTCGACCCTGGATAAATTATTTCCTCAAAAGCAAAAGACTAGATACTTGGAGATTCAGCAAGTAATGCAGACTTTCTCACGCATGAGAAGATGTCTACTTTCTCTTGTATCCAAACTATACTCAAAATATTACATGGCATCATAACACTATTACCAGGTAGGCCTGGGAAAGCAGCCACACTTTTTATTCCATGGCACAATAGATGAGGCTTTAACTTGCTGTAGCACCAGATATTCAGATGGACATAAATTGTTTCACGGATGTGTCTTTGGGTGGGAGGCAGCTTGCTATTAGAGAAGCCTGGGAAAGGTTGGCTTTTGGGTGAAATATGACAATGACAGGAAGAAGAGAATAAGAAATGTAAATCCTGTTGCTGTAGAGTTGATTCCAACTCATATAGGACAGGGTAGAACAGCCCCACTGGGTTTCCAAGGCTGTAATCTTCTTTTTTTTTTTTTTGTACTTTAGAAGAAGGTTTACAGAGCAAATTAGTTTCTTATTAAACAATTAATAAACATATTGTTTTGTGACATTGGTTGCCAACCCCACAACATGTCAACACTCTCCTTTTCTCGACCCTGGGTTCTCCATTACCAGTTTTCTTGTCCCCTCCTGCCTTCTCGCTTGCCTCTGGGCTGGTGTGCCCATTTAGTCTTGTTTTGTTTTATGGGCCTCTCTAATCTGTGGCTGAAGGTTGAAGCTCAGGAGCAAATTCAGTACTGAGTTAAAAGGGTATCTGGGGGCCATACTCTCAGGGTTCCTCCAGACTCTGTCAGACCAGTAAGTCTGGTCTTTTCTTTTTTTTTTTTTTTGTGAGTTAGAATTTTGTTCTACATTTTTCTCCATCTCTGTCTGGGGCCCACTATTGTGATCCCTGTCAGAGAAGTCAGCGGTGGTAGCCAGGCACCATCTAGTTGTGCTGAACTCAGCCTGGTGGAGGCTGTGGTACTTGTGGTCCATTAGTCCTTTGGACTAATCTTTAATCTTTCCCTTGTGTCTTTGGTTTTCTTCAATCTCCCCTTCTCCAGACAGGGTGAGATCAGTGGAATATCTCAGACACTACTCACCAAAGTAGGATGTAGAACATTTTCTTTATAAACTATGTTATGCCAGTTGAGCTAGATGTTCCCTGAGACCATGGTTCGCAGCCCTCAGCCCAGTAATCTGATCCCTCAGGGAGTCTGGATGTGCTTCCATGACCTTCAAGGCTGTAATCTTTGTGGAAGCAGACTGCCACATCTTTCTCCTGCGGAGCAGCTGGTGGGTTCGAACAGACGTCCTTTCAGTTAGCAGTCATGTATTTAACCACTGCACCACCAAGGCTCTTTCAGAAATGTAAATAACGGTGTTTAAATGTTAAATGTGTAGAAAGCTAAAACAAGTAATGTAATATTGTTGGCAAATTTTTTATTCAATAAGAATGACAAAGTTGCCAAATTTGGGAAAAGTAGGATATATTCATTCCCATAGGGAAGGACACAGATAAATTGTCTTGAGCAACAGCCCTTGAAGAGGGTCTGTGCAGGACAGAGTTACCAATGCACAGCATCCACAGCCAGGGCTTCAAACCGGTTTGGTCCAGTTGGACCCCCTGCTGAGAATTTGCATTTCCACCCCAGATATACTGAATCAGCATCTATAATTTAACGAGATTCCCAGGTGATTCTAACGTATCTGGGAATCTTGTTAAAGTGTAAATGTATGCAAGAGAATTACCTCGTGTAAAAATGGCATGGCAGGGGTACTCTGACCTCCTCTAACTTCACAAGGGGGAAGGAGAATCAAGATCAACAGCCCAAGGCTGATTCCTGTGAGGTGGAGGTCAGACATACTTCCTCTCACCAGCCTTTCCTACGAGTTCTGACACCAACTGTCCCTCCCATGCCACTCTCTACTTCTCTGCTGGGTTCGATAATTCATTGCAATGGCCACACAGAACTCACAGACAATACTATTACGGGGTTTATTAGGGAAGTAACAGGTTAAAATTCAGGATCAGAAATGACTCAGGATATGGGTCTTTGGTCAGGACAGCTTCTTCTCTGCTGTGCCTGCAGGCATGCCTCTCTCTGGCCCACAGCCACTCAGCCTCTGCCCTGCAAGCTATCTAGTGTCCTTGTTAGGCCACAAGCACCTTATTTACATAGTCCCACTCAACCATTTGGTGGGAGTTACAAGACCATGGATAGAAAGACCATAAAAAAGTGATCCATTGCACCACACCTGGGGATCTTGTTAAAATGTGGATTCTGATTCAGTATATCTGGGGTGGAAATGCAAATTCTCAGCAGGGGGTTGAACCTGAATGAACTGGGTCAAAGCTCTGTCCACAACACAGTAGCAACACTTAGGGTTTTTTTTAAAGGGGGGGTGGGAAACAAAAACAAAAACAAAAACAAAAAACAAAAAACCCCAGGTCACACCTGAGATCAATTAAATCAAATTCTCTGGGACTAAGACCTAGCGAGTTGGTATGTTTTAAAGCTCCCCCAGGTGATTTTAATGAGTCAAATATAAAAATCCCTGACTTAGCTATTTACAGCCTACGTGTATCTTCTAAGGAACCCTGGTGGCTCAGTGGTTAAGTTCTATGACTGCTAAAAAAAGGTGAGCAGTTCGAATCCACCAGGTGCTCCTTGTAAACCCTACGGGGCAGTTCTACTCTATCCTACAGGGTCGCTATGAGTCAGAATCGATTCGACAGCAGTGCGTACTGGTGTATCTTTTAAGGAGCCCTGGTGGTGCAGTGGTTAAAGTGATTGATTGCTAACTGAAAGCACTGGCAGTTTGAAACTACCAGTTGTTCCACAGGAGAAAGATGTGGCAGTCTGCTTCCATAGAGATTTATAGCCTTGGAAACCCTGCAGGATCGCTATGAGTCTGAATCAACTTGATAGCAGTGGGTTTGGTTTTTGGTTTGTATCTTTTAATCACACTGGTTCCTTCATTCAACAAGTATTTACAGAACATCTGCCTCATGCTAGGCGGTGCAGTATGCAGTAAGAATGAAAACATTTAATAAGAACAGCAAACGACAAATAGTGCTACGCTAAACGGTATCAGAGTATAAAAAGGAAAGGTTTATGCAAAAATAATCAAATGGTAAAACTATAAAAATAATAAAAATAGCAGCTCATCTTTATTGTAGACTATACCCCATGTAGAGTGTGATTCATGTATCCACTCCCTTAATCTTCACAGTCTTAATATTACCTCCACTTTACAGATGAGGGAACTCAGAGCAAGTTACATGCCTGATGTGACACTGCTAATTAAGTGGTATGGATGAGACTTGCACTAAGAAGCCTTCATTCTTAGCCTTGAAGGTCATAATTAAATTCTATAAAATCTCAGAGGAGGACACTAATAACTCAACCAGAAGTAGAGGAACAAGTTTAGAGAAAGCTTCATAAAGGAGGTCAACCCTGAACTAGGTATTAGAAAATTTGCAATTTTTTTTCAGAGGGAGACTAGCAGGTTAGCTGTGCCAGGATGGAGTAGCATTTCGAAAGATGAGAAGGTGCATGCATATTTGAGGAGCAAACAATGATTTGGTAGATAGGGAAGCTGAAGCCCTAAGGAAGTATGTTTTGGTGTCAGATTTTCCACCATGTTCCCAGTTATTCCTTGATCATTGGGATGAACATTAAAAATGAGTAGCTCAAGTAGTACGGTTTTTATCCTGTGATTATGATCAATACTTAGTAATCTGTTACTAATGATAGTTAGTTGGTAACTAACAATACGTAGTTAGTGATTAGCACTGCACTTACCAGTTCCTCGTTGTTTAGTGTTGTTCTAATCACCATAGCCAGGGAGAGTCCAGATTTCCGGGCAGCCAGGGTCTAAAACAAAAAGAATTATGAGAGGCTGCCATGTACACATTGCTCAGAAGAATGTGAATATGTAAGAATGACAATTGCTGCTCAAATTTTAGTCAATTTACTCATTTGCCATTTCTGATATCAGCTGTAAAAGGTCTCTTAGATTATCAGACTCAACCCCTACATTTTACAGATGAGAAAACTAAGGTCCAACAAGGGAGAATGACCAGTTTCAAGGCTAGCAAGAAGCTTCTAGAACTTTTTCCCCAGTGTGGTCATGATCATATTCCTTTATAAACCATAATCATTGATACAGAGCCAGCCTGACATATGTGATGGTCTGAATCACAACTGGTGTAGGATGGTCTTTGGATTGTTCACAGCTCCCTAGAATATTCTTCCATAACTAGCAAGGATATTTTCTTCCAAGAGGCCAGTTTTGTGTACTGAGAATCATTTTACTCAGATTTATTTTCTTTACTCATGCTGATAACTTACATGATCTTCATGCAAGAACTTTTAGTTTCCCATCTATAAAACAGAACCATTACTACCTGCTCCTACCTGGAGTACATGCAATATAATACACTTGGCAATGCTATAGAGAACTTTGGAAATAAAAAAAAAAGATCTATATGGGAATATTAAATCTGTTTCCCATTAGGAGCAAAGGGAAGTCAAAGTGGAAAATACAATCCTGATCACCTCTACTCCCATCTGCTCATCAATATATCTCCTAAAAACCCACTGTTATTGAGTCGATTCCGACTCATAGCAATCCTTCCTATAGGGCAGAGCAGAACTTCCCTATAGGATTTCCAAGGAGCAGCTGGTGGATTTGAACTGCCAACCTTTTGGTTAGCAGCCAAGCTCTTAACCACTGTGCCACCAGGGCTCCACAGTCAGGTACTCAGATAAAATTAAGCACACGTCTAAGTAAGGAGGTCACTCCACCCATTTCCACCCCTTCCGTGTAAACCTATAGAGAGCTTACCTTCAAGAGTTTACCAAAGAAGATCTTCCATCTCTGACAAATAGTTCCTAGAACAATATCTGTATGCTATTTTAGTCTGTCATTTGCACTTATTGTATATATAATTTTATCTGTCTTTCAGAATTGAACTGTATGTTAGATTCTTGAAGAACCAGACTTCTTATTATTGTATGTCTCTGTATTTTCATCTCTCCATTTTGCCCTCTTTAGTCCCATGAATAAATGTAGTCTGCATTTGAGATACTAAAAATATTAATTATACAAATTAAAAACCACTTACCATGGCCTGAAGATTCCAGGCGTGAGAGGAAACAGAGTATAAATAGAGATATCAAAAGTGGGAAAAGAGCATAATGATGTTAAATAAGCAAAACATGTTAAAATAATGTCCATATCATAATGCAGGAATCTGGGCCAATTATACAGACAAATCATGCTTTCAGCTGAAGCATCCAAATATTATTTTTCTTAATATAAAACCAAAGTGATGGCCTTCAGACGAAGATTTCCTTAGCAAAATTAAAAAAAAAAAACTGCTGATATCAATAAATTAAGCACATTGTTGGTAAGATGGAAATTTCTGTTTCTCTGGGGGGAAAGTACATTTTTCATGCTGTAAACTATTAAGACTATGCCTACAGAAAAATGTGAAGACAGTCTGAATGATGGAAAAACATTTTTTTCCATGCTTATCGATTTTTTTTCATTTGTTTTTGCAATCTAGTGTCTACCATCAGTAATCCTTTGAATTTCTAGGTGACCCTCAGAGTATTTTATTATAGGAGAGTTTGAGTTATTCAGAGTTATGTTATATGCAGGGCTAATAAAAGTTTTAATGACTTGGGAACCATGGTTTCCTTTAGAAAGTAGAATAGCTTATTTATTTGGCTTGAGTGGATCTTAATATACTAGAATGAAGAATTGATTAATATCTGCTTGCATTATAAAGTATTAAAGTCTACTGGGTTAAGGTGAAGAAGTTCAAATCAAGCCTTAAAATTTGCAAATTAAACTTGTGGTCTTTCATAACACTGAACACATCAAGGTCCAGTTGGCAGCAGCTCACTCAGCCTGCTATGTGATTCCTTTCGCTCAATTATAGGGTCATTGTAACTCAATTTGTAATTTCAAATAATATCAAAAGCTGTCACAAGGTTACAGTTATTTCCTCTATCTAATAGGTTTTAAAGAAATAATAAATCTAACACTTTGTAGAATCTGGCCTCTTATATATGTTATTCCATGAAATACATACAGGATAGGCAGTTAATGAGAAGGACACTGTATTATAATAATAGAGAAAAAGACAACACAAGCAATCAAAGAGGATTAAGCAGGAGTAACTTACCACATCTCGGACAATAGGTAAAGTTTTTTTTCTACGGAGATCTGGCATACTGTCAATACCATAAAGTCCCAGTCCAGCCCTGAAAGGAGAAAGACCAATGATTTCAATGGGCAAAATGACCTCTTGTAAGATAAAATTTCACTTTTCATAACCAAAAAACCCAAACCTACAGCCATCGAGTTGATTCTGACTCATAGCGACCCTATAGAAGGAGTAGAGTTGCTCCACAGCGTTTCCAAGGAGTGGCTGGTGGATTCGAACTGCCAACCTTTTGGTTAGCAGCTGAACGCTTAACGACTGCGCCACCAGGGCTTCCACTTTTCATACAACCTACCAAAAAGCAAACAAGCAAACCCATTTGCCGTCGATTTGATTCTAACTTTATAGCAACAGTATACGACAGAGTAGAACTGCCCCATAGGGTTTCCAAAGTTATAAATCCTAACAGAAGCATACTGCCACATCTTTCTTCTGCAGAGTGGCTAGTGAGTTTGAACCGCGGACCTTTCGGTTAGCAGCCAAGTGCTTTAACCATTGCACCACCAGAGCTCCTTTTCATAGTTCATAGGCTGCGAAAAAGTTTAAATGGGTACTATGATTTTCAACCAATTCACAAAGTAGCAAAAATCCAAGATTTTCGGACCCTGCCCAGTGTGAGGAAGACTAGCTACCACACCTAGTGCACGCTTGCCTTCTTGGATAGTTCCATACACGGAAACTTGAAGGTCTAGATGGCCTGGTTTGACTCACTGTTTTTATGTCAGTAGCACAGAGACGAGAATAAAGATGCTAGCCATGTGGAATTAGGGACTTCCAGAAGAAAATAGGAGTCCTGGTGGTGTAGTGGTGGAGAGCTGAGGCTGCTAACTAAACGGTCGGCAGTTGGAATCCACCAGCCGCTCCTTTGAAACCCTATAGGGCAGTTCTACCCTGTCCTACAGGGTTGCTGTGAGTTGGAATCCACTCAACGGCAACAGGTTTGGTTTGGTTTTTGGTAAGAGGAAATAGGACCAAGCCATTTTTAGGGCATGTTTGGCCTGTCTGCAATGGTAATGAAATTGCCTTTAATATAAAAACACTGTTTTTTTTTTGTTGTTGTTGTTGCATCCATAAAGACTAAATCTCAAAATGGCATCTCAAGGAAGTCTGGACAAATTTAAAATATTAGTGGTTACACCTAAACCACAAATTTCACTTATCTGAATTTATCTCCCAGATAAATGCATGGGGTTAAAATAATTTGTTGTGCCTCGATGCTCATTTTTGGTAATAACAACAAAAGTTATGTAACCTAAATATTCACGAATACTATATCCATTAAGTGAATTATAGTATAGCATAAAATGGGAAAATGCAATAATAAAAGAGAATGAGGTAAATGTACATGCATAGATATAAAAATACTCATATTAAATGAAAAACAGCAAGTTTGCATATTAGTAAGTTTACTACGATCCTGCGTGCGTGTGTGTGTGTGTGTGTGTGTGTGTGTGTGTGTGTGTGTATTGCTTATATAATCACAGAAAACACCAAGAAGGATATTCATCAGATAATAACCATAGTTTCCTCTGTGGAATGAAATTGGGTGAGAGAAAAAGAGATGACTTTCATTATGTTATAAATTTTGTACTGTTCAGTGTTTTTATAATATTGTTGTTAGGTGCCATCGATTCGGACCCCATGTATAACAGAAGGAAACTTTGTCCAGTCCTGCTGTGAGTTGGAATTAACTCAATGGCAATGTGTTTGGTTTGGTTTTGGTGACATCCTCAAAATAGTAGGTATGTTTGAGCCCATTGTTGCAGCCACTGTGTCAATCCATCTCTTGAGGGACTTGCTGTTTTTAAGTTGACCCTCTACCAAGCATGGTGTCCTTTTCCAGAAATGGTTCCTTCTGATAACATGTCCAAAGTAAGTAAGAGGAAGTCTTACCATCCTTGCTTCTAAGGAGCATTCTGGCTGTACTTCTTCCAAGACAGATTTGTTTGTTCTTTTAACAGTTCATGGAATATTAAATATTCTTCACCAACACCATAATTCCAATATGTCAATTCTTTTTCAGTCTTCTTTATTCATTGCCCAGCATTTGCATGCATATGAGGTGATTGAAAGTACCATGGCTTGGGTCAGGCACACCATAGTCCTCAAAGTGACATCTTTGCTTTTTAGCACTTAAAGAAGGTCTTTTGCAGCAGATTTGACCGATGCAATGCGTAATTTGATTTTTTGACTGCTGCTTCCATAGGTGTTTTTGATCCAAGTAAAATGAAATCTTTGATAACTTCAATATTTTCTCCATTTATCATAATGTTGCTTATTGGTCCAGTCATAAGGATTTTTGTTTTCTTTATGTTGAAGTGTAGTTCATACTGAAGGCTGTAGTCTTTGATCTTCATCAGTAAGTGCTTCAAGTCCTCTTCACTTTCAGGAAGCAAGGTTATGTCATCTGCATATTGCAAGTTGTTAATGGGTCTTCCTCCAATCCAGATACTGTGTTCTTCTTCATAAATCTAGCTTCTTGGATTATTTGCTCAGTGATTGAATAAGCATGGTGAAAGGATACAACGCCGACACATGACTTTTCTGATTTTAAGCCTCGAAATATCTTCTTGTTCTGTTTGAACAACTGCCTTTTGGTCTTGGTACAGGTTCCACACGAGCACAATAAAATATTCCAGAATTCCTGTTCTTCACAATGTTGTCCATAATATTTGTTGTGATCCACACAGTCGAATGCCTTTGCATAGTAAATAAAACACAGGTAAACTGCTTTTTGGTGTTCTCTGCTTTCATTAAGATCCATTTGACATCAGCAATGATATCTCTCATTCCACGTCCTCTTCCGAATCGGCTTGAATTTGTGGCAGTTCTCTAATGATGTATGGCTGTAGCCACTTTTGAATTATCTTCAACAAAATTTTGCTTACATGTGATATTAATTATATTGTTCAATAATTTCTGCATTCCATTGCATCATCTTCCTTTGGAATAGGCATGAATATATATCACTTCCAGTCAATTGGCCAGGCAGCCATCTTTCAAATTTCTTGGCATAGGTGAGTGAGCACTTCTAGTGTTGCATCTGTTTGTGGAAGCATCTCAATTGGTATTCCATCAGTTCCTGGAACTTTGTTTTTTGCCTATGCCTTAAGTGTTTCTTGAACTTTTTCTCTCAGATCCATCTGCTCTTGATTATATGCTACCTCCTGAAATGGTTAAACGTCAATCAATTCTTTGTGATACTTCCATCTTCTTTTGATGCCTCTTATGTCGTTCAATTTTTTGCCGGTAGAATCCTTCAATTTGCAACTTGAGGCTTAAATTTTTTGTTCAGCTCTGTCAGCTTGAGAATGAGGGTGTTCTTCCCTTTAGGTTTCCTAACTCCAGGTCTTTGCATATTTCAGTAGAATACTTTATTTTGTCTTCCTAAGTCTCCCTTTGAAATCTTCTGTTCAGCTCTTTTACTTCATTATTTCTTCTATTCACTTTAGTTACTCTGTTCAAGAGCAAGTTTCAGGGCCTCTTCCAACATCACTTTGATCTTTTTTTTTCTTTCCTGTCTTTTTAATGACCTATTTTTGCTTTCTGCATGTATGATGTCCTTCATGTTATCCCAGAACTCTTCTGGTCTTTGGCCATTAGTGTTCAACATGTCAAATCTATTCTTGAGATGGTCTCCAAATTCAGGTGGAATATATTCAAGGTTGTACTTTGGCTCTTGTGGACTTGTTTTGATTTTTTTCAGCTTCAACTTGAACTTGCCTGTCAGCAATTTATAGTCTGTTTCACAGCTCCCCCGGCCTTATTCTAACTAATGATGTTGAGCTTCTCCATTGTCTCTTTCCACAGATGTAATTGATTTGATTCCAAATACCAGCAGGTAACCCATGGTGGACAGGTTTCAGTGGACCTTCCAGACTAAGACAGACTAGGAAGAAGGACCTGGTAATTTACATTAAAAAAAAAAAAAAAATCTAGCCAGTGAAAACCCTATGAATAGCAGCAGAACATTTTATGGTATAGTCCTGGAAGATGAGCTCCTCATGTTGGAAGGCGCTCAATATATGACTAGCAAGGAGCTGCCTCCTTAAGGTCGACCTTAATGATGTGGAAAGAGTAAAGCTTTTTGGACATTCATTAGTTTATATGGCATGACTCAAAATGATCAGAACACTTGCAAACATCCATTAGTAATCAGAACATGGAATGCATGAAGTTCAATTCAAGGAAAACTGGAAGTCATCAAAAATGAAATGAAACACATGAAAATCAATATCTTAGGCCTTAGTGAGCTGAAATGGACTGATATTGGCCATTATGAATTGGACAATCATATAGTCTACTATGCTGGGAAATTTTATAATGAGCTTGTGCTGTTTTTTTTCAATTTCAAAATAATTTTAAAATACATAAGTCCTAAGGGAAGGACAATGCAATATAAGCGAAGTCAGTACAACTGGATCAAAGCAAAAGCATAGAAGTTTCCTAGACACATCCAAACACTTTAAGGGACCGAGTAGCTGGGGCTGGGGGCTGGGGACCATAGTCTCAGAGGACATCTAGGTTAACTGGCATATCATAGTTCATAAAGAAAATTTTCTACATCCCACTTCGATGAGTAGCATATGGGGTCTTAAACGCTTGTGAGCGGCCATCTAAGATACATCTATTGGTCCCATCCCCTCCAGAGCAAAGCAGAATGAAGAAAACCAAAGACACAAGGAAAATATTAGCCCAAAGGACTAGCACACCACATGAACCAGAGACTCCAATAGCCTGAGACCAGACGAACTAGATGGTGACCGGTTACTACCAGTGACCACTCTGACAGGGATCACAACAGAGAGTCCTGGACAGGATGGGAGAAAAATGTAGACCAGAAGTCAGATTCATGAAAAAATACCAGACTTACTGGTCTGACAGAGACCGGGGGAACCCTCAAGACTATGTCTTCCGGAAACTCTGCCAACCTAGAACTGAAAGCTTTCCCAAAGCCCACTTTTCAGACAAAGATTAGACAGGCCTATAAAACAAAAAATAACACATGTGAGGAATATGCTTCTTAGTTCAATAAATATA